CCCCCCCCCCCAGACAACTGGAGCTCCCCTGGGGCTGCTGCAAAAGTGAAGGGCGCCTGGTCCCCGCATAAAAGGAAAAAAAAGTTACACCCAAGACGCCGGCCCTGGGGACTTGGGTGGAAAGCCACGTGCAAAAGTGGCAGGAAGGAAGTTCACCTACGACTCTCAGTACCGTACCTGGGGTGTCCCGGACGCTTTGGGAACCTTGAAGGGGCAGGGAGCCTATCCTCCTGGTCCCTCCTGGTGGGCAGGGGGAGCGCCTAGGTGGGGCTGGCTGGCGTGGGCCTGGGGAAGCCGTCCTCTCCTCCAGGGGGCAATCCCCCAACCCGAAACCAGAGCTCCGGTCATTAGCTGCAAACCTGAGTGGCACGAGGATCGCATTTCAAACGCGCAGATAGACTGGCTGACCTGAGTCGTCCGACTAGGGGTTGGGGTGGGGAGTGGACGGCTCCCACGGCTCCCACCGTACCAATGCCCCCCCACTGAGCTCCCACAGCCCTCCTTCCAGGGGCTGCGCCCCCGCTGCGTGATCCAGGACACGCTCAGGCCGCCTGACTTCATCCCAGCAGTGGGGCAGGAAGCGCGAAGCGTCTCTGGAGCAGGAAAGAGGGTCCCCCTGCTCCCTACCCGAGCAATGTGTGGCTTCACCCCCGCCCAACCTGCAGCAGATCCCGGCCTCAGCTCTCGAGGTGCTCGGGGCCTACAGTTGTGCAGGCCCGGGAACCTGGGCCGCACTGTTGCAGGAGCTGGCACCCTGTTTCCTGGGTGGGGTGGGAGAGGCTGTGCCCTCAGCATCCGTTCTCCGGGTTCCCAGCAGAACTTGTCTCCCCAGTAGCTGAGCCCTCGGCTCCCAGCTTCGGCCAGAGAGTTGAGAGACAGGGCAAGACAAAACTAAATTTGCTTAGGATTCTGGAAGCTGGACAGGGGGGAACCAGGAAAGAGAGACCGGTCCCTGTGCCAACAAAGACCCCCACCTGCAGTCAGGGCCTTCGGGCCTGGACAGTGGACACCGTAAATGCCAGGGACTTGGGGGAGCATCCGAGGTGGGCGGAGAAGAGCCCGGGACACCTCGGGTAGAGGGAACCCCTGGAGTCAGCGTGGTGGCCCTGCCCGCCCTGGGGCACGCTGGCGCTGCTGAAATCCCCAACCCTTGGGGACCCCGATCGGAGGAGCGCTGGGGATCTGCTCCAGTGCCCGGCCGCGGGCATTTTTAAGGGGGGTTTGTCTTGGGCCCACCTTGTGCTTCATCTGCTCTGGAACAAAAGCCCCGACGGGGTTTTCGGGGGGAGGGGGCAGTGGACACTAGAATAAAAGCTTTACTTTCACACTGCACGACAGATGGCCGAAGAAATCCAAATGTTCTCGTACAAAACGCGTGGGAGTCACACACCAAACCCCCCAGCCCCCCTGCAGCACGCCGGAGGATTTCTTCATATCCGGACACATGCTCCGCAGGTACGCACACCTCCACCTGAGTCAGGAACGGCGATCCAAGTGGCTTCTGAACCCCGCTTCGGCTGGGATTCTTGGCTCCAGTTCCTCCAGTTTCTTGGGGTGATCTCGGGTAAGTGACTTCAATGTGCGGGGTGCCTCAGTTTCCTTTTAAAACAGGGATGCGAGCCCTGCGCGCGCGCGCGCCCTAAAGGGTTAATTGCGGGGAGGCGAGGAGAGACCCCTTTTGCGGGGAAGGATCCGAGCGCCTGGCACGCGCTCGCGGCCCTCGCATGCCAGCTATTTTTATTGTTGTTATGTGTACTTGGAGCGCCAACATCTGCAACATATATACGACTTGATTATACGCATCTTGATTATAAAACAACCAAATGCATCTACATCCGGAACTGTCTTGGGCATGAACTTCTCAAGGCAAATTGGAAGAGACGCCTGCAGATGGAGCACGCACGAGGACACGCACACGCGCGCGCATCCCCTCCCGACACCTGCGGGGCCTGCGGGAACGCAGCTGCGGCGCAGAGCCCGCGCGCGGGGAGGGCGCGTCTTCAGCTGCGGGTATTAAGCAGCCCGGGGCGGCCGGCTCGCGGCCTCGCTCTCGGGGCTGGTTGCCCGGAGGTCAACCTTGGAAGCCAGCGAGGCAGAAAGCGCGCGGGCGCGGGGCGTTTCAAGGCACTTGCCTCCCCAAGGCGGCTGCCTGTCTGCTGGCTTAGGGGAAAGGTCACCACAAGGCTTTTCCTTCTTGGATGGAATTTTTCTAACGGCCTCTGCGCCGGGGAACTTCCCCCCCTCCCCTCCCCACAAAGAAGGACGGGTGGGTTTCAGGACAGAGGCGGAGGGAGGCTCTACCCACCGTCACACGCACGCACGCCCACACCCGGCTCCGTCGCGGTGGCGGGGACCCGGGAGGAGGGGCGCAGGGTCGTGACCCCTGCCTCCGCCGGAGCGCGCCCTTCGGCCCCTGCAATTAGCGCCGGGAGGTCAGCAGGAACCCGGACGCCTTCACCCGCGGCTCCAAGCGCAGCCAAAGGCGACCCCTTTCCCTCCCCCGCCGCCAGTCTCCGACGCCGGGGCGCAACCAGACTGGGAGCCGGCCTTCCCAAGGGGTGGGGGGCGCAGGAGGGCTCGGGCGGCAGCCGTATTTGTCACCTTAAATCTACAAATCACCAGGGCGCTCGGCCCTGCGGGCTGCGGTAGCTGACCCTCCCGGTGCCGTTGCGCACGGCTGCTCCCGCGAGCCAGCGGCGCGGTGGCCTTTGTCCCTGTAGACTCGGCCGGTGGGGAAAAAAAACCGAAAAGAAAAAAAAAAAAAAATCCAAAGTCCTAAATTAAGAAAGAGAGAGAGAGAGCGCGCATGGAGGCAAAGAGGCGCTGCATCCAGGGCAGAATCCGAGTTGTGTCTATTTGGAGAGAGGGGGACCCTCTGCTCTCCATCTCCCCAGCATAGGCTCAGGTTCGCCCCTGACCCCCAGGCAGGGTCGGGGCAACTGCTGGGGGTTTCTACACCGAGCGGCAAGGTACTTGGCGAGAACATTAGGGGCAAGGGTCCCCTCACTGCATTTCCTCACGCTCTTTGGAAGCCCAGAGGCGGGAAGGGCTGTTTTTCTCATCGGAGGTCCCAGCTGGAGTAAATGTGATATTCAGGAAAGAGATGACAGCGGCTTCTTCCGAAG